GGGTGCCCAACTACTCTCTGTGCTTGCGGCTTGGGTCCAGATCAGTAATGGTGGCTCATACCCACCTGTTTGTGGTACCTTCCCCAGGTAAATCCTGAGTGGCCCAAGTCAGCACCATTTCCTTCCTTCCCTGTGGGGCCCTCTTCTGACAGGGACTCCCAATATCTGTTGCCCTGGGGCACACAGCTCTGTCTGTGCTGGAGAGCTGAGAGCACAGCCACTCTCCGTGGTGGCGGCGGGAGCCAGTTCAGTGATGGCGGCTTGTACCAGCCAGTCTGTGAGACCTTTTCCAGGAAAAGATTGGGTGACCCGTGGTCAGTCCCACTGCTTTCCTTCCCTGTGGCTTTTTCTCACGACTGGGACTCCCCGTCTCTGGTGTTTTTGTGCCCACCGTTCAGCCTGGGAAGGTGATTGGGACACACAGGCATGTGGCTCTGGTCTGGCAACCTAGTGCCTGCAGGACCCGGGATCTCTTCTGGGTTCTGGCTGGGTGGCCTGAGCATGGACTGGACTGATTCCCATACCATGGGGGTTTCCTCTCACCTGGGAAACAAGATCACTGTTGTTTTAGGGCCCAGAGTTCAGTCTCTTGGTCGCTGTAAGGAAAATGTCCTGCTCCTCAGATGCAGCGTTCTCCTGACGCAGCCATCTTGCCCCCCGAAACTTTCTTCTAAAGGCACTTAGTTCTATGAACTTTTCTCTTAGCAATGCTTTCATTGTGTTCCATAAGGTTGGGCAAGTTGTGTTTTTATTTTCAGTGATTTTTAGGAAGTCTCTAATTTCTCTTTTTTATTTCTTCTCTGATACAGCTGTTGTTGCGTAGAGAGTTGTTTAGTTTCCATGTGTATGTAGGCTTTTTGTTATTTCTGTTGTTTTTTAGTTCTAGTTTTAGTCCATAGTGGTCTGATGGGATACAAGGGATTATTTCCATCTTCTTGTATCTATTTAGACTTGCTTTGTGCCTAACTATATGGTCAATTTTTGAGAAGGTTCTGTGAGTTGCTGAAAAGAAGGTATACGATTTTGAGTTTGGGTGAAAAGTTCTGTAAACATCTATTAGGTCCATTTGATTTAGAACCTCTGTAAGTGTCATTATTTCGCTATTTAGCTCCTGTCTAGATGATGTCCCTTGGTGAGAGTGGGGTGTTGAAGTCTCCCACTATTAAGGTTTTGGGATTGATGTGTGATTTAAGCTTTAATGATGTTTCATTTACAAATGCAGGTGCTTTTGTATTTGGGGCATAGATTTTCAGGATTGTGATGTCCTTCTGGTAGATTTTTCCTTTGATGATATTGAAGTGTCCCTCTTCATCTTTTTAAATTAATTTTGGTTGAAAGTCTATTTTATTGATATTAGTATGGCTACTCTAGCTTGTTTTCTGGGTCAGTTTGGTTGAAAAGCCTTTTTTTTTTCCAGCCCTTTACTATGAGGCAGTGTTTACCAGTGTTTCTTTGTTGCAGGGGTGTGTTTGTTAGATGCAGCAGAATCTTGGATCCTGATTCCATAACCATTCTGTTAGTCTGTGTCTTTTTATTGATAGTTGAGTCCATTAATATGGATAGACAATAGTGACCAATGAATGTTAGTTAGTTCCTTTTATTGTGGAGTTGGTGGTGAAACTGTGTTTCTGTTCTTGTTTTCTTTTAATTTTTTGTTGTGAAGTTATCTACATCCTGTGTTTTCTTGGGTGTAGTCGGTTTTGTTTGATTGGAGTTTTCCTTCTGTAGGGCTGGTTTGCTGTGTAGTTATTGTTTAAGTTTAGTTTTGTCATGGAATATGTTGTTTTCCCCATCTATGTTGATTGAAAGCTTTGCTGGGTATAGTAACCTGGGTTGGTATCTGTGGTCTCATAAAATCTGCATGACATTTGCCCAGGCCCTACTGGCTTTCATAGTTTCTCTGGAGAAGTCTGGTGTAATTATGATAAGTCTACCTAGTCTATTTGGTGTTCTGTAGGCCTCTTTTATGTTTACAGACATCTCTTTAAGTTGGGGAAATTTTCTTGAAAATATTTTCTGGACCTTGGAGCCTGGAATCTTCTTTTTCATTTATTCCTATTATTCTCAGGCTTTGTCTTTTCATGATGTCCTTGATTTCTTGAATGTTTCGTGTCAGGATCTTTTGTGATTTTATGTCTTTTTTGAGAGATGTATTGAATTCTTCAATCTTTTGCGTTTAAGATTCTCTCCTCCATTCTTGAATTCTGTTGGTGATGCTTACCTCTGTGGTTTCTGATTATTTCACTAGGTTATCCATCTCCAGGAGTTTATCTGTGTTTTTTCTTTATTAATTCTAGTTCTGTTTTCATGTCTTGCACCATTTCCTTCATGTGTTTGTATTTGGATTCCTGTCTGTCCATGATGGCTTCAATTTTTTTTTTGTTTGTTTCATCTCTGTATGCCTCTGCATGTGCCTCTACATGTGCCTCTACATGTGCCTCTATTTGTTTGGCTGTATTTGCCTGTATTTCTTTGAGAGCTTTGTTTGTTTCATCTTTAAGTGCCTCTAATAATGGGATAAGCATATATTTGAGAACATGTTTCAGATGAATTAAACTATCCATTGATTTTTTTGTGGTTGTTGGTGAAGCCATGATGTCCTGATTTTTGTTGGATGTGTTTTTACGCAGACCTCTAGCCATCTGCTTATCCATATTCTTCCCTGTTTGTTCCTGGAGCCTGCACTACAGACTGGGTCCATTTTTCTCTGGTGTCTGGATTATTTTTCAGGAAGATGAGAGAGGTCCACCGGTTTGAGAGTAGATGAATTAGGTTATTTCCCGTAATGTACCTATATACTAAAACTTAAGCAATGAAAATCTATACAATAAGCAAACTCATATAGCTATAAGAGGAGCAGAACCCTTAGAGGCTGTCTAATCCAAAATTCAACAAAGAGCAAACTGAAGCTCAGCATAGGAGTGGGACATGCCTCTGGCCATTTAGTGGAGAAGGGAGGGAGTAAAGGATTCAGCACAGGGCTCTGTTCTTGAGCTTTTCTCAAACAACTGGAGTGTACTAGAATTCCCTAGAGGGCTGGATGGTGTCCATTCTTAGAGAGTGGGGAACGCTAGGAGGAGTGGAGGGAGACTGCTGTCAAGATGTATTGTATGAGAAAGATTAAATAAATAAACAAACAAACAAACAGGTGAGGAGTGGCCCATTTGCCTACCCATCACAGCATTCCAGAGTTCACTAATGTTTTTGTTGTTGTTGTTTGTTTGTCATGGAGTACACAGTTTGTATTCTATAGACAATTGCACATAAAAGGGTAAAGAAAAGAAAAATATATAGCATTAAGAAGGTGAGATTTTCGAATTTTTAAAATGATCTTTCCAAAAACTGCTCTAATTTATCAAGTACTTATGAAAACAGATTATCAGTTAACTAGCTTTTTCTTATTTTCATTTATTAGTTTTCATAAACATATTTTGAGAATTTCATAGATGCATATATTTTGATCAAATCCACCTCCCATTCCCACTTCTCCAATTCCTCTTGCTCAACACGTTCCCCTTAAATCTTTTCTTGCTCTGTTTTTAAACCCCTGAGTCTACTTAGTATTACTGTACATGTACGGGCATAAGAACATCCACTTGGGATGTTCTCAATGGCCCTATTCCTGAAGAAAACTGTCTCTCCCTCCCTCAGCAGCTAACAATTGCTAATAGTTCCCCAGGTATGAATGGGACTTCATGAGTTCCTTCTTCATCCATCCTGGGACTTTTGGCTGGCTTAATCATGGGCAAACAGTCACAACCAGTGTGAATTCTGTGTACAATGTCCCTGATGTGTCCAGCAACTACTGTTTTGCTGCAACCTGTTATCTCTGGCTCTTACCATCTTTCTGCCCCCTTTCATAAATGGTTCCTGAGTCTTGGCATGTGTGTGTGTGTGTGTGTGTGTGTGTGTGTGTGTGTGTGTTATAGCTGTCCTATTTGGAGTTAAGAATTCCACTTTGTTTTGCTTTGTATGCTGACCAGTTGTGGGTCTCTGGGTATTAATTACCATATACTGCAAAAAGAAATTTCTCTGATGAGGGTTGACCCAGGGATATATGGACAAAACTTATGGGGCAGTGTTGAAAGTTACTCTAATCTATGGGTATAAAGACAAAAACTTATGGGGCAGTTCATTGCTGCATCTATTTAGTAGAATAATGGTATTAGGTTCTCTCCTAGGGAGAATTATCTAGCAAGCCACAGGTTTTTTTGACCAGTTAATGATACCAGGCATGAGCTCCATCTTATTGAGTGGGCATTAAATCCAATCAGAAAGTGTTTGGTTCCTTCCACAACATTGACACCAATTACAACAGTAGGATCATTTTGCCCAACTAGTCACTGTTGTAGCTTGTAGAGTTAACAGATGGGTAAGACTATTGATTAATTTACCCTGCACTTGGTAGTTTGCACAGTACCATCCAGCATTATGAGAGCTATCCAGTAGGGTTGAAGCTTCCCAGTCAGTACAAAGCTTGGTTTCTCTATGTTCTATGACTGGACTATGTGGTATCTTCAGTAAACAGGGTATTATAATGTAGTCCTGGAGGATAACCATGAACACTGGTAATAGCATATAATGTTTGGGAGGGCCGTTTAAGGGACTCCACTGACCAACAACTTTGAAAGTGTTAACCCATGCATACAACACACACACACACTGCACTGAGAGTCCAAAGGGTTACTGGGTTCGACTTCCTTCGATTTTAGGAAGCTTCTACAGCAGGAAGTTTCCACATGGCTTTTCCAAAGGTCTTTAATGTTAGTTATCCTGCCCAATACACCCTCTCCTAATCTGCTGGCCAGAGTAAACACAAGAAAGTAGAAGGACTTGTTGGCTGAAGAGGGAGGGAGATAATTGAGGATGATGGTGGGAGGTAAATATGATCAAAATATATTATATGCAATTATGAAATGATCAAAGAAAAAATATTTTTAAACAATCATCATATGCCTATGCCACCACCACTGAAGGCATAAAGGAATCAAAGCACTAAATTGTGTCTGTCAAATTTTTATAATTAATGTGTATAACATTTAAAGAAAAGGGATATGAAAAGATCAGCAGAAATGGAGGAAGAGAGTTTACATTTGTAAATGCTATCCAACTGCCAAAATACAAGTTTACCTAGTAATATCACGTACTCTGGAAGCACACATCTATCATGATGAGTTCTGTGAATAGATGAACCTAGTATACATTTGGACCCTCAGTTCTGTGTGTTTGTGCATATGTGTATGTGTGAAAGAGAGAGAGAGACAGAAGGAGAGAGAGAGAAAGAGAGAGAGAGAGACTGCAAATTCTCCTATATTCATAGGAGATTACAAGGCAAAGCTGTAGGGTTTCAGCTAAGCCCTTTCATATGCTGGCAAATGAAATAAAGGGTTGACCCAAAGAACCAAGATTCTAGCCCTTTGCTTTTTAAAGTACTGTCCAAAGTAGATGTACTAGGGTTCCTGGGCATCTTTTAGCATGCTTGTAAGATGAAAAACTATTTCTGTAATACAATACTAAAATGATATTTTTTTTTCATTCTCATTATCTGACTCGCACAAAGAGACCACAGATGGCATGACATATTATAATGGCCTATATCTGATAGCTAATAGACTGGTGTTTTGTTTTTAGCAGTTAAGCACTTTTGATTCCTCTCAGTATTGAAAATAGTTAGTATTAATAGATTTTACTTTGGAGTCCTGGGTAACATTTAAGGGTGTTAATGTGCTTTCACATAGCAAGAATAAAGGAGTATCAGCAGAGTAAAGGAAAACCTACAGAATGATAAAAATGTTTGTTAACTATACATCTGAAATGGTAATATTGTCTTAAATATGTAGGAAACTTCAAAAATTCAAGTTAAAGTACAAATAATTGACTAAAAATTGGCAAGAATTCTAGATTGACATTTCTCAAAAGAACACAAAATGGTCAAGAGATATTTGAATAGTTGCTAAATATCACTAGGCCTCATGAAAAAGCCAATTGAAAAACCACAATGTGATACCATTTTGATCTATCTATAATTGCAATAATCAACACCAAAAAGTACAAAAGTTAGTGAGAATATACTCTGAAAAGGCTCATTACACTGTTGGTGGGAATGTAAATTTACTAATTTATGCATTATTGGAAACAGTACACAGAACTCAAGAATGTTAAAGAAATAAAAGTACTGTATTATCCATATGACCTCTCTGGGTATATTACACACCCAAGGAAAATTAAACCTGTGTATTACAGAATATCTGCATGCCCATGTTTGTCAATATAGTATTCATAGTAGCTAAAATATGGAATCGATCTTGTTTTCCATTAACAGGTAATGAAAATGTGACACAATGAAATACCATTCAGTCATTAAAAAGAAAAGCAATTTCCTATCATCTGCTGAAACTGGAAGGGAATAGAAGATATTATAGGTTATATTCAAAATACAAGTAAGCACAATTTATTAGTCAAATGAATTATAAAAAAATGAAAACATTTTGCAAATGTTGCTTTATCAGTATTTTGTCATTTCTAGAATGTATTGCATTCTGATTTAGCTGAAGACAAATTATTCAATATTATTGGTTTCCTTTTAATATGGAGATTATAATTCTTAAGTACTGTGATTATAATTACATCAAAAGGCTCAAATTATAACTTGGGAAGAAGGCTATCATACTAGGTGGTGACATTAGATAACTCAGAAGCCCCCTTTCTTTAACAAGTTGTTGTTTTTTTTTTTTTTTTTTTTTAGAGTAAGGAAAAGCTTCTGTTTTATAGTATGGTAAGGTGACAACATGAAGCAAATTTTGACAAAATATTGCTTTGTTGATATAAAATTTTGGTGGTAGGGTGCCTAGTGTATTTGTAATCCCAGTGTTTTCAATTTTAAGCCTGAAGTCCCAAGAGACGAGCAGTATTCAATACATCATCTCTTGTTAAATAGCAGCCACAGAGTTGACGATAGCCAGTGAATGATTCCCTGCCATGAAGGACTCTCCAGTTGTCTATAAATAATACCTGTGAATGTATAAAAAAAGACAGCAAACAATCAGAACAAGGGCAAATCTTAGGGAATCTAAGTCAGAAGAGATCACTGAAAGATCATTTTAGATTATTCTATAGGCTACACCTGATGAAATATTTTTCTTTTGATGTTAAGCAAATTAAAGAAAAAAAGATATATCTAACCCTGTAGCAGGCTAAACAGCAATTAAAAAGAAAATAGTTTATAAATTCTGTGCACCTAAGAAGCTTATGCTCTTTGAGCAAATATCTTTTCTTCAAAGCCAATCAGGAAGTTTGTAATCTTCAGTTTATACTTTCTCAATTATGTTTTGTGTAAGGCTGAAGCTATTCTTTAAAAAAAAATAGTTTTTGTTAATTACAGTGTATTCACTTTTTATCCCAGCTGTAGCCCCCTACCTAATCCTCTCCCAATCCCCCCTCCCTCTTCTCCTCCCTTGCTCTTCCCCTAGTCCACTGATAGGGGAGGTCCTCTTCCCTTCCCTCTGACCCTAGCCTATCAGGTATCATCAGGACTGGCTTCATTGGCTTCCTCTGTGGCCTGGTAAGGCTGCTCCCCACTCAGAGGGAGTTGATCAAAGAGCCAGCCACTGATTTCATGTCAGAGACAGCTCTTGTTCCCCTTACTTGGGCACTGCACTGCCATGAGTTACATCTGTGCATGGGTTCTAGGTTATCTCTATGCATGGTCCTTGTTTGTTGTATCAGTCTCAGAAAAGACCCCTGGGCCCAGCTACTTTGGTTCTGTTGCTCTTTTTGTGGAGCTCCTATTCCCTTCAGGTTTTTTATCTCCCCATTATTTCATAAGATTCCCTGCACTCTGCCCAAAGTTTGGCTATGAGTCTCAGCATCTGCTTCAATACCCTGCTGGGTAGAGCCTTTCGGAGGCCCTATGTGGTAGGTTCCTGTCCTGTTCCCTTTTCTACCTCTTCCTATATCTATTCTGTTTGCCTTTCTGAATGAGGATTGAGTATCTTACCCAGGGTCCTCCTTCTTGCTTAGCTTCTTTAGGTGTATAGATTTTAGTAAGTTTATCCTATATTATATGTCTAATATCCACTTCTAAGTGAATATATATATATATATATATATATATACACACCATGTGTGTCTTTCTGCTTCTGGGATAATCTTTTCTAGTTCCCAACATTTGCCTGCAAATTTCATGATTTTTCTTGTTTTTAATTGCTGAGTAGTATTCCATTGTGTAAATGTGTGACAATTTCTGTACCCATTCCTCAGATGAGGGACATCTGAGTTGTTTCCAGATTCTGGCTACTACAAATAAAGCTGCTATGAACATCGTTGAGCAAATGTCCTAACTATATTTCAGCATATTTTGGATATATGCCTAGGTGTAGAACCTTCCTCCATTGCTGGTGGGAATGTATACTTTTACAGCCACTTTGGAAATCAATCTGGCGCTTTCTCAGATAATTAGGTATAGTGCTACCTGAAGCTAATCTTTAGTTAGAGGAAATCTCAAGATTTAAAAATGGAATCATTAAGCTGGAAGGATCCTACTTAAATCCTTTCATCATTAAGAGTGTCTCATATTTAGAGATAGAGTGGTGCCTGCTTTCAATCATCAGTGAATGGATGGCAGGACCAGGAACAATACCTAGGACGTACGAAAAAAAATCTTTTTTCTTTTGTAACACGACCTCACATATTAAACATGTTTCATTCTTTTCTTATTTTTGCATGGCAAGCTTACTTGATATCGTTATAGAGTTTGGGACCTACCTTTCCAGGCTTCAGTTTGACCCAAAGCTCATTCTCAGGCCTTCTTAATTCATGTGTTAGGGTTCGGTGTGCTATATACCAACGATGGACAACATCATAAGGCACAGTGTTGATGACAGCTCGGTCATAGTTGTTGTACCTTATATGGAAACATGATAAATAAAGATCTCAGAAACATGATAAAGACATTTATTGCTTATTGAACTGTTTCAGATAATGCTTTTCCCTGTGTTTACTGTTAGTTTCACACTTGAAATGTCAATGTATCAAGACACTCTTAGGAATACAGCACCAGAGGAAAGAAAATTCTAGTAACTGCTGGTCACATTTTGTTTTTCTTTGGAGACTCTTGGGTAGAGAGTCAAAGTTAAGCTCTAGTTGACTTCTCCAATCTCAGGGTGTTGTTGAATTTTTGTGTGTTTGGTTTGGTTTCTTTGTTTGTTTTTTTAAGATTTGTTGTTTTATCTAAAGTGTGTCTCTTGAAAGCATTAGGAGATTTTAGCTGTTTACATTAAACTAAGGAAGACAACATAAGTTGTAGAAACAAAGCTATCTTAAAAAAAAATAATTCCAAAATTATTTCCCTTTGTGGAAAAAATATACTAGCTATAACTTAGTAGACAGTTTTACTCAGAGATCTTCATTCAGTATGTTACTTATTCAGCAATTACACTTACATGAGCACCTGCTATTACCAAGGAGTTTATTAGGAAATAAATATGCAATGATGAACATAGAAGACATCATTTGAGTTGTAATGGAAGTTTTGGTTTCTCTATAAACTCAGTTATGTTATATAAATATGTTTTTGCTTTACTCCCAACTATGGGCTTTTAGTTTGGGCTTTAGTTTGTCCACAGATGATAACTGTCATGCGGGGCATGGACTTTAACAGCTGGTAAAGGCCTGCCTCATGTGGCTTCAAGAGAGGTGTAGTCTACGGCTCTGAGGATAGAAATTGGAGACTAGTAGAGTTCCAAGATGGTGGTGACCAGTTTGTATTGTATCTGAAGGACAGAGGATCTGAAACTCCGAAACTGATGAGAGGACAGGCAGCTGGATCCAGAGCATTAACTTTAGGCTTCCCAGGCTAGAGGGGACAATCTGTGGGTTGGGGCTGATTGGATCTACCCCTCCTCCCCATAGAAATCTCTGGGATCTGGGAGTGGTGAGCTGTGGACCCGCAGCACTTTTGTGTGCTCCATCGGCAAAGGATTAGCCCCAGGTCCGGGGACCCTCTGCTCTAGCGGCCAGACTTTGGATCCTTCCCACTCCCCTGTGGGCATCATCGGGAATCCTGGGACATTTGTGGTCAGTTGGATCCAGGGCCTCTATAGCTGTAGCCCGGATCTGACAGTCACTAACCGTGAGCCCCCTGGGCTGTCTGCATACTCAGGCAAGTGCGAGTGGAACCCCATGTCTGGGGACCCTCAGACCCAACAATCAGACATTGGATGCCTCCTGTTCCCCTGTGGGCAGCATTTGGCTTTCTGAGACATTTGGAGTCCATCAGGTCCAGGGTCCCCATCTCTGTAGCCCAAATCTGAGAGTCATGAACTGTGGGGACCTTGCACTTTCCACCTATTCTTGCTAGCGTTTGCGGAGACCCAGATCCAGGGACCCTCAGCTCTAGCAGCCAGACATTGGATCCCGCCTACTCCCCTCTGGGCAGCATCGGGATTCCTGAGACAGCACTCCCAACATCAAAGCCACTGTTCTGTGGGTCATCCGGTGGAGACCAGGCAAACAGCAGAAGTACGTGGTTCCTGGATCCAAGAAGGTGCAGCCCAGGTGGATCTGAGTGGCAGGAGCAGACTGTGGGTCATGACTTAGCTCCCAGCTGAGACACTCTGCAATTGCCACCCACACTGGGCCATTCAGGGCACCTGCTCATGCCCACTGTGTCCTCAAACAGTGCCAGCACCCCAACCTGCACTTATGCCCTGCTCTTCCAGGCACCTGTGCCCGCTTGTCCCCTAGCCTTCAAGGCATGGTCTCATGCACACTCCTGCGTCTGCACACATGTGCCTGTGACCTTCCTTCCTTAGCTGCATCTGAATCACCAGCACCCATTCTCGAGCCCCTGAACTCTTTCATATTCCTGAAGACTACTCCAGACTCCAGAGACTGGTAGACCTAGTCTGCAGTTCAGGCTCCAGAAACAATCAGCCAAGGCTACTGGCAACCAGATGGCTAAATGTTGGCATAAGAACAGAACCAACAAACACCAGGACATCATGGCTTCACCAGCAACCCCAAGAATCAATGGATATTCAAATGCACGTGAAACATAGGAAAATGATCTTAAATCTATGCTTATCCAGTTGTTACAGGCACATAAAGAGGAAACAAACAAATCTCTCAAAGAAATACAGACAAATACACCCAAATAAATAGAAGCCATCATAGACAGACAGGAATCCACAATCTAACAGGTGAAGGAAAAGGTGAAAGACATGAAAACAAAATTAGAATCAATAACGAAAACCCAAACTGAGAAAATCTTGGAGATAGAAAATCTAACAAAATACCAGGAGCCACAGAGGTAAGAATCACCAACAGAATGCAAGAGATGGAGGAGAGAAACTCAGGTGCTGAAGATACAATTTAAGAAACTGATATATCTCTCAAAGAAAACATAAAAACAGAAAAGTTCCTGAAACAAAACATCCAAGAAATCAAGGAAAAGATCATCCTGAGTAAGGTAAGCCAGAAGTAGAAAGAAACACATGGTATATACTCACTTAGAAGTGGATATTATTCATATAATATAGAATAAACATACTAAAATCTATAGTCCTAGAGAAGCTAAACAAGGAGGACCCTAGGGAAGAGGCTTAATCCTCATTCAGAAGGGCAAACAGGATAAACACCAGAAGCAGGAGAAGACAGGGAATAGGATAGGGGCCTACTACAGAGAGCTTTTGAAAGACTCTACCAGCAGGGTATTAAAGCAGATGCTGAGACTCATAGTCAAATTTTGGGCAGAGTGCAGGGAATCTTATGGAAGAAGGGGTAGATAGAAAGACCTGGAAGGGACAGGAACTCCATAAGGAGGCTAACGAAATTAAAAAATCTGGGCCTGGGGGGTCCTGGAGTGACTGATGAATCAACCAAGGATGATACATGGAAAGGACCTAGACCCCCCCTCCCACCCCTGGTCAGATGTAGCCCATGTACAGCTCAGTGTCCATTTGGGTTGCCTAGTAAGGAGGGCAGGGTCAGTCAGTCTCTAGCATGAACTTGGTCGTCTGCTCTTTGATCATCTACCTCCCTTTGGTGAGGTGGCCTCACTAGGCCACAGAGAAAGCAGATCCAGACAGTCCTGATGAGACATGATAGGCTAGGTCAGATAGTAGGGGAGGAGGATCTCCCCATCAGTGGACTAAGGGACAGGCATAGGGAGTTAGTGGGAAGGAGGGTGGGACTGGGAGGCGATGATGAAGGGGGCTACAGTTGGGCTATAAAGTGAATAAATTGCAATTAATAATAATAATAATAACACTAAAAGAAAAAAAATAAATCTGAGATCCCAGAAAGAGAAGGTGTGGTGTGCAATGGTGGCATGTGGACAGACAGAGAGAAATGCTTTGGGGTGCAGTGGCTTGGAGGAGACTGCTGGCCGTATTTGCTTTTGACTGAGACTGGTATAACTCCCAAAAGAATCCTTCAACCCTAAACATTTGGGAGAAGTAAAGGGGTCTGTGGTCCCTCTCTCCACTAACCTTCTCTCTTCTATATAGTGTTGGGAGGTTGGAAGGGAAGTAGAGGCCTAAACACCCCAAATAAAAGAGAGTTTAAAAATGAGTGCTACACTAAGCTTTTGGGAAATTTATAATCTATTGAGGATGCAAAGTTATAAATGCAACAAATATATATATATATATATTATATATATATATAATATATATATATTTTATAAATAAGATAATTTCAGCTAGTTATGGATGCTGTGTAAAAATACAGTTACGTGTGTCTACCGGTAACTATAATTTTTGTTTTTGAGTGCTGAAGAGATTTTTGGAGAAGTGACAGAAGTTTACGCTAAGGCAGAAAGAATAACAAATACAAAGTCATCAGATAGAAAGCATTTTATCTTGTTCACAAACCACCAAGAAAGCCAACATCTCCTTGAGATACTGAGTAATCAAGGAGAATTAGGATCGAAGAAAGGAAACAGAGGAAGTAGCCAGGGGCATGATTATATTTGTAGTTATACAGGGCATGGCAAAGCCTTGGGCTTTGCCTACTTACCATGAGGACCACTGAAAAGTCTCTATTAAGATAATGTTCTTCTGTTCAGGTGTGGTGTGAATACCTCTAATCATAACACTAAGGAGCATATATATATGAGAGGACACAAATAAATCTTGATGCATTTTCATGGTGACATTCATGCCATTGCTAATGAGATATAGCAATTATTGTCAGAACACTGTAGCATTTTCTTGATCCCCTTTCCAGTCTCACTCTTTCTCCTACCCAAGGACAATTGTCATCTGATTTTTCTCATTAAACATTACTTATAATGAGTTTTACATAAATGGAATCATATGGTATTTTCTCTTTTGTGTCTGGCATCTATCAGTTAATATTGCAGTTAGTAAATTCATCATTTAGTAGTAGTTACTCATTACTGGTGCTGTATGAAACTTAATTGCATGATCATTCCATAATTTATTAATTCTATTGTTAATGAACTTGAGTGGTTTTCACTTTGAACTATTATAAGTAGTGCTTACATGAACATTCTATTACATATTTTGATAAATGTAAGTATTCATCTTGTGTTGAATTATTATTAATATTTAATATTGATTTATATTTCAGTAAACAGCAGTCATTCCTTAAATCACCACACAGAGACTAGGATTTATTTAATTAACCTAGAGCACAATGCTGTGCTATAATTACTCCATCCTAAACCTCCAAGCCCTTATTAACTTCCTCTCATTCAGATTTCCCACATTATACTTGTTTTTTAGTTATATCTTCGGTCTAGTTAATTTCTCATGATATTTCCCAGTCCTTTTCTCTTGATCTCCCTCACACTCTACCTTTTCTCTTTCCCTCACCAGACCAGGATATCCCACCCTATTCTCTCCATAGCTCAGCATTGTGCTCTAAGTTAATTAAATA